CATTTGGTGAGAAACTTGCCCTTGCGTCCCGCAGCGCGCGAAGCGGGAGGCTGCGTCTTGTCAACTGGCGTGCCGGATGCCGGGGCAGCGGCGGACGCCGCCTTCTTGGCGTTGGCTTGCGAGCGGCGTTCCACGCGTCGTTGGGAGCTTGGCTCCGAAGCCTCGGTGAAGAAGCAGAGTTTGGCGTTTTGGAAGTCGTAATCGTCTACCACGTCATGGCATGTGGGTCGTATCCACGCTGCATGAGAGTAGCGTCCATGTTGCCTCGGAAACCCGGTCCCACGCCGCCGGGCGTCGGCGTCGCCGTTTGGCTTAACGGCGTCGCCAACGTGGTCGGGTGATGATCGGCCGTAAAGTTGTTCAAAACCGGCCCACCTAGATGACAATGGTATCCACGTGTTGCCTGTGAGTTGCCAAAACGATTGATGCTGGTCTTGACGGGGTACTGCGAAGTTGCCCGTGGTGCCAGCCGAAAATCAGCGGAGCCGTCAAGACATAGCTGCAAATGACTTGGATATAACCTTAAAATTGAAGAAATTTACAAAGAATTGAGCAAAATATTTTATTGGAAGATGTAAATTAGGGAGGTCAGTGTGTACGGAATATGTTTTTATGAAATAAAAGTTGTCTCTTAACTGTGTACTTTGGATTAACCTTAACGTGGTACTAAGCCCAAATACTTAAATTTATGGCGAGAAATTTTTCCAAACGTTCAACAATTTTCTCAGTTCATGGTATATTATCAATGATAACTTTGTTAGTTCTACATAAATCATTAAGGAACTTTGAAGTTCTACCGTGCAATATCAGCATAGTCTAAAAGCAGATAAGAGCTGTAATATCAAAACGTGTACTTGCCGTCTTCTTCGACCATAATACGAACAAGAAAAATAGCACACCAATAATATTTATTATAGTATCTCAGCTCCTTTGTGACATGAGTGCCTGAAAAATGCCACTGAATTATGACCAAGTACGATTCTAAAACCACATTTATGACTGTGACAAACTAGTTGTCTAACTATTTCGGTACCTGCACCAAAATAAAAAATGCATTCTATAGAAATGCTCAATCAGTATGAGAACAAGTTTGTTTCACAAGAAAGAAAGCGCATTCGAAAATATTTTTGAGTTAAGGAAGCTTTGTGATGTGCATATAGTTGAGGCCACTTTTATTGCTCATGATTAGCACACGATGGTGTCTGACAACAAACGATGCAGAAAAATCTGCCAGATTTGACAAAGCCTTTCTGCAATAATGGCTATGGTGTTTAAAATCTATGGCTGCGGTGTGTTGGTTGCCTCGGAATTTCAGCTGCTGAAAGGTGACACTTTTTAGATCGAAGATCCTCAAACCGTGGATTATGGGTCTGCGATGTATGTAACAGTAGTCGTAGTAGTAGCAGCATGTAGCCACCTCTACGGCTGAACTAGAGGTGCGGCACGCGTGCACTGTTTTTGATTATGGAGGAAACCCATGCCCATCTATTAAAAACTTAAAATATTGTTGTTTCAGACGAAATACCCCTCAGAGACGACTATCGGTGACAATATGTAATAATTTTGCTTTGAATTTTATGTTTACTAAAAAAACTTGTAACAGATTTGTGCACTTTTACCACTATCTGGCCGGAAGAGGTTGCCATGTTAAACTCGCTGGGCGTAACCTGCTTGGTTTTAGCAAAGTTAAGCGAGGGTTGGGACGCAGTGCCATGAACTAGCGGTGGTGAAAGGTGGCAGCTAGGCACGAAGCGCAGGCCGTAATAGAGTGCGCGCAGGCACTCTTCTAGTTCGGCCGTGCCACCTCTCGTTTAATCTTTGCAAGACTGCTAGATTGTGGTACTTCTGTATGATGAATATATGATTAAATGATGCGAGATAGTGGTACTTGGTGTATTCACTAGATAGATGGATGGATGAACGGACGCACGGATAGACGAAGGAATGGACAAACAGGCAGACACATGGACGAACAAACACACAGACGGATGGACAGACGCAAAGGTGGACGGACAGACAGACGCACGGATTTAATGCATGGACGGACAGCGCAGGGAAGAACGGGTGGACGGAGGTATGGATTTGCGCACGGACGGAAGGATGGATGGACGCAAAGATGGATGCGCAGATGAATGGACGCATACACGTATGGACGGACGCACAGACGGATAAACCCAAGGACGAACGAATGGTCGCACAGACGGACGCATGGACGGGCGGAAACAAGAACGACTGAACGAACGGAAGCTTGGATGAACTGACGAATGATTCGACCCAGCCATCACCATTCACTGCGTAAATAAGCTGTGATTTTTTTCATTTATACCACAAACATATATGTAAAAGGTAAGGTCGTCCTTTGAGTTAATAAGTGCTTGCAAGCAAGAAAGCAACGGCTGATTGATTGATATATAGAGTTCAACGTCCCAAAACCACCATACGATTATGAGAGATGCCGTAGTGGAGGGCTCCAAAAAGTTCGACTACCTGAGGTTTTTTTAAAAGAACAATGAAGTCAAGCAACACGTTACGTCAGAGTGAAAGCTAAATAAATGTACGACAACATGGAAAACGACAATTAATACGAGCATCAGCGCCCTACTTATTGAGAAAAAAAAGTAAATCCACAAGAATACATGCGCCGCACGAGAACATTCTCAAAATGATCCCTATGTCGTAAGACAAACCGTCACAATTAATCACTAGTAATCGATCTAACTGCACTAAATACAGAACTTTCTATGCATCAAGAGACACAATAAAATGGCATTCTCTTCACTTCTGTTTCATTCATAGAAAAAAAAAACTGCCAGACGTTACTAACGGGTTGGGCAAGTGTTTCATAAATTCAGTTTTCACGTGGTAACACTAGACAGGTTGTGCCATCTAGCAGGCCCCAGTTGAACCAAAACACGTCTGTCATCTCTGAGCCAGTAGCAGGATGTTGGTCAATGGTCGCTGGTCAAGCCCGTTACCGTGGTCCACAATATTGTTGAGCTGCCACGCAAGGGTTTTAGAACACCACACGCGTTGTAGAATAGCATGGCTTCTACACGCTACGGGTCACGCGCTTTTAGCGTTGAATTTGTTAGATGCTGTAACAACTTTATCGCCCAAAAAACCAGACAAGCTATTGCGTCTGCAGTCGGAGCCATGAATACCGAGTAGTTTTTCCCCGTGAAAACTTTGTGCCAGGAATATGGTATATTTCAAAGTGGAACGACGCGAGTGTATTTTCGTAGAACTCACTGATCTTGTTCTTTGCAGGATATAATGAAGACATCTTCTATGGAAAGAGGGGCGCGAACAATGTGCTAGAGCGAGCGATGGATGGACGGACGGACGTACAGACAGAGACACGGACGAACGGAAGCACGGACAGAAGGAATCACGGTAGCACGGACGCATGGGCGGATGGAAGCATTGACCGACAGAAGCACGGACAAAGGGAAGCACGGACAGACGGAAGCTTGAAGTGGCGCAAGCACGGACGGACGCTTCGCCTCACTCATCATCATTCACTCCATGGATATGTTGTGATCTTTTTCGAACCCCGCCTATTTACCGTTTACTGGAAGATTAACTAAATTGTTGACCTCCACTAACTTTTTTTAGTTTTTCACGAACCATCAATAGTATTGTTTTGTTGATTCTGTGGTGGTTCTAAAGAAAAATTAGATCATAAAAAATTGTTTCCACTGTCTTCGTATTTGTTACCTTGCCAGTTAAACAGTTCATCGCACAGGAAGTGAGAGGTGGATGGAGAATGCGACTGCGAATGAATGTGAACCGCGCCAATCCAAAACATCGTAATCAGCGTCATCTTTATGATGCATAGTGCCAAGCTTGCATCGTTATGTGCGTGATCTTCATCGGCACCGTGAGTATGGACAACGAAGAACAAATAAAAGAGCAACAAAAGACTACAAATAGATAAACAAGTGGAAAACAATTAAAGAGAGAAAAAAGAGATATAAGGAAGAAGAGAAGAAAAGAGATAAAGTAGGTAGGTAAAAAGGCAGTTTACTTGCTGAGCCACTGATCAGCTCTTGATTTTTACTAGCCAATCTAACATTTACTATTTAGATAATACACTGTAATGATTTGACATTCAGAAGAATTTCATACTACGATTACACCTCAGATATTCAACAAATTCTATTATTTTTCTTCTTTTCCTTTTTTTCACATTGTGTCAAAATAATTTCACAGTCGAAACAAAGGAATCCTGTTCCTCCAGCCTGGATAACCTAAAGGTATTGACTTGCATTAACCACCGGCTTCTTGGCCAATCCCCCTTAGTGGGTGAGAGCCATAAAAGAAAGAATCAATCAAGCAAGCAAGCAAGCAAGCAGACACAGCTTCATGCTGCATTTACTAGGCTTAACTGCTCTTCCGTGTGGTAAAGTGTTCATGTCTAGATTCAAGTTCTTATTATGAGAATGTAAAGGGAAAATTGAAAGTTGTGATAATAATGTGAATAACAAGGTTCCATGTGCTCAAGCTGACGTTCCTACGAGTGGAGTTGTCTTCCTGAAGGCCTGTTGTCTTGGGGAAAACAAGAACACTTGTGTAAACATCAGTCAGAGCGCACAACTCCTATTTACGCGTTTTGATTTCTTTAGGTTATGACTCGCTGACACACTTAGAATAGACACCTAGGTGTGATGTTTCTTCAGGATTCATCCACCCAGTGTGAAGTTGCCTTAGTTTTTACATTGTTGCTGCACCCATGACAGAACTTTTAAAGCCAGTTGGGGCGATTTTCGAATCACTATTAGATGGCTACATAACATCAAAATAAATTTATTGCTTGGTTGCTTGTGACTGCTTGATTGACATTGTGAATTTTTTTTACAACGGTGCGTGGGAGCACTGCGTGAATTCCCAATCTACAATGTCTGTGTTTACTGCATGCTGTTTTGTCTTCATTGTTCGCTTCCAACTCCGCACGTTCAATAGCAAGTTTTAGTAATGGAATACTGTTTTCTTTACCATTCCAGTCTGTCATTTCCATTCTGGGCGGATACTGCAGTAGTTGAGCCTCCACCGTCTTTTTATGCCTGAAAATACGCACGGACAAGTGAAGTAAGCACAATAGTCATGTTGCCCTAGTTGCCAACATGAGCGTCCAAGCATGTTCGAATTTGCTCTCAAGAATTTTCAATACATCTAACACCGAAGCACTAACGTTTTGCGATAGAGAATAGAATTCAAGCGCAAGTGTGATGAAAGGACACACAGGTCACGTTTTATGGGTGATGCGTAAACATAAAGGACTTGAATCGGCAAACCGAAACATAAACTGAGGAGTGGAGGGCAAGTGGAGCGGGGTGGGGGACCGCAAACATTAAAATGATATAGAAAGTAGCGTGTGTGGTCGTACATTGTGCTCGCTTAAATAGAACAAACTATTTTTTTCTTTCTCTCTCTCTTGAATTTGTTTTTAAAAATCCGCTGTCAGATGTTTAGAAAAAGTATTTACACTAGGTACAAATATGAAAGTATGCGTGATGAATCAGTATCCAGGACATCCCGGACGTTTTCACACCTCATCACATCGCCAAACTGGTACTTAGTCACTCGCTTTTGTGCTTAATATCGGTGCTCTCTGCTTTATAGTGCCAAATCCTTAGTAGTGGAACGATACACGTCGTCATGGTAAAGAAGTAAATGAGTGCACTATGAAGTAGGCGCACGAACACATGACAGCAGAGGTCTTGCACGCTTCTGTGATAAGGCTTTTTTATCCAAAACATCATCGTCACTATCATGTGAACAATAAGCCAGAATCATGAAATACCACATCTGTACACGTAATGCAGTTAAACACATCAAGTACAACGTACGAGCAAAAAGAAAAATAATAAAGAGTAGAAAAAATAAACAATCGTACTTTGTTGTATTATTCACACAAAAAGATCAAGTGAACCTTCATTTAAACATAACAACAACAACAATGACCGTAACAAAGTGTCATGCTCATGCTTTTTACGTCACCAAGAGCACATACACTGTCATATTCCAGACGGCCTGGTAGAGCAAAGTGACGCTGTTGTCAGTTAAATTTCTCGTTCTATAAAATATGCATGTGGCTTTACAGCTCTCGTAGAATTGTGGTTCAGATGCTGCGAATATCCAGATCCTACGGCTCGTGTGAAGAAACTGAAAATAAAAAAATTTCTTTAAGTTACTGAGCATTGTTTGGGTAAACCTTATCGAAAAAGGTGCCTGCTCATCAACCGCCCCCAGACTGTAGTAAAGAACTGCAGCTTGTGTGTGCGCCTGTCTGAGAGAGCTAAGGGAAAGTAAGAAATTTAACATTATATTGTCCGTGTTTGGTCGAGCAACTAAAACACAGATACAACTTTAGTTCAATCTTCCCGGTGCTGCATGGCAGAAATTAGTGCTAATTATGTGAATTAAAAACGAGAAGTACAAGAACGCTGCTATGAATGAGGACAAACGCCTTTCCTTGACTAGTAACATTATCTATAGAGATGTCTGCAATTTCGATGGCTTAGAGATTATTCTGCGCCGTCGGCGATGTTTTCCACAATTGTAATTAGAACTCCTCTGAATTACGTCTTGACAGATTGCTCAGTGTACAAGAGACAAAGAAGATACATAGTAGCTATTGTATGTGGCCGACGAAAGAACACAAATACCACCGCGTCTTTGGTCCGATTGGCTTGGTAATACGCATGAAGCTATGAACACTCGTTTTCAGAAAGTAAAAATACTAAGGTTAAAGCTCCCAGTGGGAGCAGTCACTAGATAAAGAGGGGAGCTTTAGTTAGAAAAAAGGAGGTTACCCTGCAGGAGAGCACCCCAACGCCTCCTACTCTATTAAATGAGCTATAGTCGGTTACCACAATGGACACCGTCCACCCAGGCGTGCGTTGGGGAAACGTGTTACACAATATAAAGTACTTGGTACACTACTACGGGAGAGCAGAAAGCCGTCCCAATTAGCGAAGGGGATAGGAAAAACGATCATAACCCACCAAATTGAAATTGCCTCTTTACGTAAAATGAAGACATTTCACACATTTTTTTTAAACATTACTTGGTCGTAGAGGTACTTGTTCATTTGAATAGTTTTTGGTCTAAAAAAATTACTTCTTGGCAAATTTCATGAAAACTTCCACCTTTATTCTTCAGCCAAACGTAACGTTTTAAATAGTAACAACAAACTTTTAAGTTATATTGCGTAGTATTTGCGTTATCAGTGAAGAATTGCTTATGGTTTGAACGAAAATTGCCGATTGTTCCTGTGTTGCACAGGTAATTTAAAGGTGCGCTGCAGTACTTGGGCGGCGCGTATATTTATTCTTGCGCTGTAACCGACTGTAGTGAAGTCGGAATACACAATGAGATGAGCCCTGCAGTGCAGATTTTGGAACACCATGTAGTACATGTTGCAAATAAGCAAAAGAAAAGGTGGTGAATAAAATCGCCACAAGATGTTTCCAAGAGACTTGTAATTTGTACGAGACCGAATAACACTTGACGGAGAAGGATAAATAGCGTGATCCGCATTACAGGACGACAGAGACCGACAAAGCGCTTACTTTCAACCTGAGCTTCATTAAGTAAAAGATAGTACACTAAAAGCTCCTTAACGCGTATTTCATCTATTAGGCAAAACTGATGAATTACTTAACTGCTCGGTAATAAATAAACGGAAAAATTCGGCAGATCCCATGTACCTTGGAATCAACGTTATGCGAAGTATGCGGATGGAAAGTGACCAGGTTGCAATTTTTTTAGCAACACGTCATAAATGACGCTAAATTTATGTACCAATGTTCCACACACAGACATAACTTGAAGGGTCGCAGACGTGTATATAACCAGTTGTTCTCACTTGCGCATTGATGCCAACGGAAACATGCGTATTAGAAACACCAGAAGCTGATATGAAGCACTGATGCTCGCGAGGATGCTGGCCCTGGACACTACTACACAAATCAGCTTCTGCACACCGCAAATAACCACAATTGACGTTAGCTCGACGTTACGGCTGTATTAAAGGAGAACATATGCAATGTTCATAAAATTTAGTAGGTAGCACTGCAAGCACTATTGACGTTTCACAAAGATTGGCGTCTATTTGAAACGTAGTCTCGAGACCTGGCGTAAATCTGTGGTAAAATGCCTTGCTGCCACGCAGAATGAACAGGTACACTAACACACACCTCGTTGTAATCTCCACTTCGTTATGTATAGATTATATGTCTAACAAAATCATACTTGACATGGTATACGTACTTTTATGTATTTTATGTATTGTATACATGCAATCCGTTGTTTGCATGGAACAATGCTGCAAGATACTGCAAATGACTTTTCACAAATAGGTTTCCTCCTTATATTTTGTTTCGATTTTTTTCTCTTTTTTTCTTGTATGATTGAAGTGTACTTATAAAATATCTGCTTTGTTAACACAATCTGTTCCTTTAAATGCATATTTATTTAGACCACCTACTAGCCAGTGGCTATGGGTCTAACCAGTGTTGTGTATTTTCATGTAATAAGAGAACTTGAAATAAAATAAAATGAAATGAATGAATGCTTAAGTTCGATTACAGCTGGGACCCTGACATTTATATTTTGCATTCATCGGGTCGACACAATCGATGTCGGGTATTCCTTAATAACGCTCACGGTTTAAAATTACACACGTGTCTCCTCGTTGTTCCTGTGTAGGTGTTAAGTTTCAATCACCTGTGCTGCATACCCATGTACTAATGACACATAGGCGCCCGCGGGTATGTGCACTGTCTGGCGGGAAGTGCTTGACGACGTACGCGGTAGAATATTGATATTATTCATGTTTTCAACAGCGCGTCATATTTGTCACACCATCTTACCCTCCCATGCTAGTTTTGGTTCACGTCACAATAAGGGGGTGAGCACGATAACGCCCAAACGTAAGCGGATAGATAGATAGATAGATAGATAGATAGATAGATAGATAGATAGATAGATAGATAGATAGATAGATAGATAGATATATAGATAGATAGATAGATAGATAGATAGATAGATAGATAGATAGATAGATAGATAGATTAATTGATTGATTTGTAAGGTTTAACATCCCAAAACCACCATTTGATTATGAGAGACGCCGTAGTGGAGGGCTCCGGAAATTTTGACCACCTGGGGTTCTTTAACGTGCACCCAAATCTGAGCACACGGGCCTAAAACATTTCCGCCTCCATCGGAAATGCTGCTTCCGCAGCCGGGATTCGAACCCGCGACTTGCGGGTCAGCAGCCGAGTACCTTAGCCACTAAACCACCGTGGCGGGGCTAGATAGATAGATAGATAGATAGATAGATAGATAGATAGATAGATAGATAGATAGATAGATAGATAGATAGATAGATAGATAGATAGATAGATACGCTCAAGGTCACTGAAGTTCGCTAAGAAATACTTCGCATTTAAAACTTGGATAATCTCTGCCAACAAATCGGCATCACGAAACAGTTAAATGCGCCTTCATGCTGTCAGTTGAGCGTTTATTGCACACTTTTTTACACAAAGGCAAAGAGATAAAAAACACAGCAACAAATTGTCATTTCACGCGAGGGATGGCAGGTAACTTAGCACATGCGGTGAATTTCAAGCCGACAGCACACCCTAATATGGGATACACAAGACGAGCGTGGACCGACAACTGTCACAGCTCGACACTCAAACTGGGTCGCTCAATCAGAAGGACGCACTACACGAACGCAAAATTACACAAAAAAAGGGTGCAAAGAAATGTAAAAAAATCTTGCTTCTTAAGTGAGCAGTGCGCTCAATTTATAAATTTGGCCACGGCGCTGACCGAACTGGTTTTCGTGCTTTTTTATTGTGTTAGCAATTACACAGGCAATGTCGGCTGGATTTCGCCGCCGGCGTCGGGGTCGATGTCATGAACCGTATATGTATACGGATATATCCTCCTGGCTTCCGGGTTGGATTTTGGTCCACGGAATTTCCTGAAACTTTCACAACTGGGTGTGTAGATGACGAAGATAAAAAGTGAAGCTTATTATTTCCGTGATGTTTGCGCTTTTGGTATGGCGTGATGTCCAACTAATTGGATGCTGAAACTTAATTAAAGCGTTAAGTAGTGGGCCTGAAGCAACGCAAAGCAAGGTTACTGAAGAAAATTGTGACAAATTCCGGAATAACTGCAAGCTATTATTCAAAATGTAACAAATAATAAAAAACCAACAGAAAAGTGGACCTTAACTTTCGCCGTTTAACTTCTAGAAGATTGCCCTGTTGAACGCCACCATGTTTTCTTCTTTGTTTCGCGATCTCCTGGCGCAATTTTGACAAAACTTCATGGAGGGCGCCAGTAGATGTCCAAAATATTGGACAAGTGGTTTTTGAGGAAGAAAACATGCTGAGTTCTTTGTAGTGATGGGGTATTTCATGTCCAATATTTTGGACAAATCCCCATAGCTGGAACTCAGGAGGATATATCGGTATGAAAACGCAACAAAAAACAAAAAAAATACTCTAGCATGCGGAATCGAACGCGGGACCTCCGCGTCGTGAATTCGAGGCGTTAACCACTGAGCCACCTTTTTTTTCTTTATTCACTTAACCACTGAGCTACCGAACAGCTTCTTTTTTATTGCTTAGCATATCAAGACTGTTCACATCTTTACATATTGGTCAAAATACACGTACGCAAATGAATACACCTACAAAATTCATTGAAGTACCGTCAGTTCATAGCTTACTATTGATCAATACTTCGGCATTCGTAACGTTGTCTCAAAGGGTCACTCACCAGACCCCATACCAAATTTTAGATATACCGCGGAAGTTCTTGGGTGTTCATCGAGGAACAATTTGCCACAAAATCTTTTTGAATGGGTTCAATACGAGCTGAGAAAACTGTATTTTTTTTGAGCTGCGCAAAACAAGGATGAGAGGAGGCGAGCTCGAAACCCTTGCCGCTCCTCCGCGTAGCCTTCGCTAGCCAAATCTCTTCAGAACCCTCTCCATCATTCGATCTGGAGGTCACGTGTGCATGACGTACCCGAATTGGCCAACTCTCGTGCACGCAACTGGTTTTTTTTAGGCGCGAAGCTTTTTATAGCGGCACCTGTTCGTCCCTCGTAGCCGTTGTAGTATGTAACAAGTATA